TGACACAATGTTGGTAAGATTGTCTAATTATTATAAAGTGCAATTTCCATCATGATCACTATCCCAGATCAAAGCAACATGTGAAAAAATACAAATTATATTTTAGTCATATAAAAAATTGCAAGGTATATAAATTTAAAATAAAAACATATACTCTGAGAACTCATTTAACACTAATATCCCAATTGTAACCCTGAGAGTTTAACATGATATTTTTGAAAAAAAATTACTTCTACCCTAGAAACCATTTTAAACAAGTCCGAGAATTGCCTGGATAGAATATCAGTGGAAGAATAGTAAACAATCTAAGATATGCTGATGACACAGTGTTACTTGTAATAAAGTGAGGGGGAGTGGCATGACCTAATAGAGCAAGTAAATAGGCACATTCAAAGCATGGATAAAAATATTTAAAAAAATAAAAACCATGATAGTTGACAATAGAAAGAAGTGGCCAACACTGAACAACATCATTGTAAACAGAGAGAAATTAAAACAAGATTCTTCTATATTAGACATGTAATAACAACTGATAGCAGAAGAAAATAGAAGTCAAAAATAGATTAGGAATGGCCAGGAATATTTCTAACAGTAGGCAACAATTTCATAATTTACTAAATACATGAGTTTGGCTAATTATCTTTACAAATAGTCATCTAGAATGTTATGCAGTGATTAATAAAAGCATGGGGCACACACATGTAAGGTATACATAACAACTAAATCATATTTATAAAAATATTGACCTGTGACAAGTTGAGTCAAGTAATATTAATTGTTATTTAGGCACCCCTCACTTTTATTAGTCATGGTATAAAATTATAGATGACTATACTGGAAGGAAAGTTGAAGGCAAATATGCAAGAAACAGACATTAATACACCTGGGAGGATAATATCAAGAGATGGACAAACAGCAGTCTGAAAGAGTTTATATCCAGAGTGAAAGACAGAACATGTTGGAGATCATTACTGCCAACCTTCATTGTGTAAATGGCACCTAATTGTTTGACATTTTTTTGGTATTATTATTATTAGATAATATAATTTGGCATTCAGAGTATTTGGATTGGCAATCCAGGTCAGCACAAAGAGACATCTCATACAAAGCATATTCATTCCAACCCTATGCTACTAGTGCCAGACATGGTCCCTCACAACAAAACATAAAAGAAAATTTGTAACCATAGAAAGGATGTGTCTGAGAAAGGCTGTAGGAGTAACCTGACGAGAAAAAATCAGGAATGAGGTCATACAAGATAAAGTCAGCACAGAACCAATTATAAATTACATACAAAGACAGCAAATCAAATGATTTGCCCACTTGGAGAGAATGCCTTCTGATGCTATACCATTCAAGGCATATACCAAAAGATGAGAGGGACGTAGAGCAAAAGATAGGCCAAGAACAAGATGGAAGGATAACATTAGAGAAAATCTACAATACCACAATGTGTCTGTGGTTGAAGCAGGTTGAAGAGTTAAGGATTAATGTTACTGTTCTATTGCAACACATATTTATGTTAAAAAGTTAAAGCATAAACATGTGTCAACACCTTGAGGTGTCTTTTTTTTTATATATGGTGCATGTCACATCTTCTTGTTCAGCATTCTGAGCAAGTGAGATTTATTGCTGCAGATGTAAGTGAATAAATTTGAATCCCTCTAGAACTGTACTGAGCAATTAACATCCATTGACTCAGAGACACAAAGAGCCACTATTCTGATGAGAATTACCAAGGTACAAATCTCAGAAACATCATTCAACCATATGTCAGTTATATTAGGGCACCAAAGGTTATAAAGTAACCTGCAATGTATTTAGGCTGGGGGACATTGCTGCAGATGTCACCTGGCTCCATTCATCTCTTTGTGTGGCCTTCCTCTTTCGATTCTGTCATCCCTATCTGTGTTGATTATCTCTCCACCGTCTTCTTGGTCTTTCTTATGATCTAGTCCACTTTAACTCTTCTGTGTATGCAGTTGTTTTTTCTTTACTCAAAGAAGATACAAAAAATAGATTACACAGTTTATTGCCTAGAACAAGATGGAAGGATAACATCAGAGAAACTCTACAACAGCACAGTGTGCCTATGGTCAAGGCAGCCAGAAGAGCTAGAAACAGAACCTTATATCTCCCTCGACACCCACAGCGGTAAAAGAGGAAGTGAAGAAGAAGAAGAAGAAGAAGAATTGCCTGGCAAATTTTGCTGTATCTCATCAGGTGCAAACTACAGTAACAATTTATTCAAAATAAGGCAAATAATTTAATTTTAATTAATTGCTACTGTAGTATGCACCTGATGATATACAGTGAAATATGCTAGGCCTAAAATTGTGCCATCTATTTTTTTTGTGTGTGTGTGGGTCTTCTTTGTTCAAATTTGCAATGGGGAAATATTGCTTTAATTATGTTAGCAGTAAATCAACTCAATCTACCAGTTGTCTTCACAATGAAGGTTGGCTGTAATGGATTTCCAACACACTGTGTCTTTCACTCTGGATATACACTCTGTCACACTGCTGTTTGTCCATCCCTTGATATTATCCTCCCACTTGTATTGCTGTCTGCTTTTTGCTCACTTGCCTTAATATGCTCCCTTCATTATGATTTTTTTATAAGAGTGGTGTCTTTTAAAATAGTTGAAATATTTACTTTCTCTTTTTTTTTAAAATTTTTCCATAACACTCTCTTCGTTCCTAGTCTCTTCAGAATCTCTGAATTTGATTTAAAAACAAAAAACAATCAATTTAAATTAAATAACAAATAAGTGTTATGTTTTCAGTTGAACTGGTCAAAAGCAGACGCAAATTTGAACTTGAGAGAAACCAAATTTACATACCATTTTACCTACTTGCCAGCTGGCCTTTTCAACAGAGCTCAAGTAAGTGTTCATCTTATCCTGTCACATTTGATTTTAATATATTATTTCTCAATTTCTGAGTGAAGAAAATGATAACAGAGTGTGGAGTCACAACTCAATACTTACAACAAGACTAGAGAAATCAGAAAATTCTTAAGAGAGGGGAAGTAAATAAACAAATTAAACAATGTTCCTTATTTCATGTTCATTATATTCAACACTCATTAACTGCCATAAACATAAGACTTAACCTTTCATGACAAAGTAAACATATTATGACAAAATATTGTCTTCAGTTTTTATGGAAATCAGTCTTTACAAATCTGTAGTTGAATCTGGGATCTTTACCTTAATTATGTTAGTGTCCAAATTTCATATGCATACAGGAGTATGAAATTTGGACACTAATATAAGTTGAGGTGAAGATCCAAGATTTTAAATTGAATTGTAAACAAAAATACTGGAGTGAATATCCAAAATGTTTACAAGAATTGTTAACAGACTTATTGGAGTAGAGATTAAAAATTTTGAAGTTAATTATTA